CATCCATCCTGATGCTGCCAATTGGATTAGAGCACTATTAATACTTAACCATATTACTCAGATGTTGGTTGGTAAGTACAAAGCCCTCTCTTTTATTCTGTGGATAATAAAAATGGAAAGCCAGAGTGTATAGGGTTAGGGAAGCATGACCTTGAGTCCAATGTGATAGCAAAACTAAGGATGTGACTTCAGTCTTCTTAAGACAAGCAGCAAGCATACCCATCCCCTTACCATCAAGTTGGTTCTGCCTTAGAGTGACCCTCTGTTGGGTGTCCAAGGCTGTATGTATTTATGGGGGGAGACTCTACATCTTCTCCTAAAGAGTAGTTTGTGGGTTCAGCCTACTGACTTTTTGGTTAGCAGCTCAATATATTAGACCCTACACCACCAGAGCTCTTCTAATCTGCTCCGAGAGCCAGTATACCTAGGACCTAATGTACTTCTTTAGATAACTAGTTCTCTGCCTTTGAAAGGATCCCTGGTAGTTGAGGGGTTAACTGCTCAGCTGCTGACTGAAAAGCTGGGAGTTCAGACCTGCTGGGTGAAGTGGCTTATTTGGAGGAAGGTGTGGTGATTTGATCTTACAAACATTTCAGCCTAATAGCATAGTCCACAAAACCAATATTTTTTTTACCCAATGACTAAAAACTAGGGACCTACAAGCTTGCAAGCAGCTGTCTAAAGTGCAACCGATGGTGTGAAGCAAATCTACAATACACGGAAATAGGACACAGCACTAACAGACTTTGTGAGCTTCAGTTTCTACCATCTGGAGACCAGAAATGCCTGATGCTGTTGGATAGCATTGCTAAGCAAATTGGAAGGGATCACATGAACGGTCATGGATAGAGAGTGAGAACAAAACTCAAAATCATAAAAATGGTGCAGTTTACTGGTCTGCTAGAGACTGCAAGAACCCCTGAGACAATAGTGCATAGTCACTCTTCGAGGCTGAACTGAGCCATTCCTGTGGCCCCGTGAATGACAGTCAGATCTATAAGGTTAGGCGTATCACTTGGGAGAGTGTCCATTCTTACAACTCTACAAGATCCCAGAGGCAGTGCTTGCCTGGAGATAAAGCTCAGATGACAGGAATAAAGAAAAGAAAGACGAATGGGAATGAGATACTCAGGAAGCTGGGGGAAGCAAGCTGACGCAGTGTGGAAATTATAGTCAACATCATAAAACATAAATGTACATGAATGGTTGAATGGAACACCAGTCTGGTGAATAAACTTCCACTCTAACCACAGTACAAAATTAGCCCTAGAAAACCTCATAGAGCAGTTCTATCCTGTCACATCAGATTGTGATAAACCTACATTGACTAGACAACACACACAACAGTAACAACCTTTGAGGAAGAGAAGTAGTATTAACTTACATATTAGGTTTACACTTCTGGTTACCCAAGCATTTTGTGTTAATAATATTCTTTGGAAAAGTATCTAGTTCTTGATTCTTTTGACAAAAGATTGCACAACCTTAGCAGTAGTGACATATTGATTGTGAGGGTTTTTCTGTGCATTGTTGCATGTTGGCCAACGTGCTGTTATCAACCTTCACTTTTTACAGTCAGACATCACCAGATACGGCCAAATTATCTCAGGGAATAGAATCACACCTGGTGAGGACTACCACTCTAAAACCTGTCTTCATGTGGTATTTGTGTGTCACTAAAGTAAAATCCTTGGGTTATGCAGACAGTTAGTGCTTTTGACTACTGACTGAGAAAGCAGGAAAATTTGATTCCACCTAGAGGCATGTCCATGTACTTCTAAAACCTCAGCCAATAAAAACCTCCTGGAGCACAATTCAGCTGTGCTTGGGGTTCCCTGTGAATTGGAATTGACTCAAAAGAAACGGATTTCGTTTCTAAAGTAATTGTATAAAAAATCACATGTTGTTGTTATGTGCCGTCGAGTTGCTTGCGACTCATAGTGACCCTGTGTACAACAGCTCTAAACTCTGCTCTGTCCTGTGCCAAACTCATTGCCTCCGTCACACTCATCCCAATTGCGCCAGTCACCAAATCAGTCCGTCTCCCAGAGGGCCTTCCCTTCCTACGCCTGCCCTCCACCCTCCCAAGCATGATGTCCCTCTCCAAGGACAGGTCTCTCCTTACAACATGACCAAAGTATGTCAGACAAAGCCTCAGAATCCTTGCCTCCAAGGAGCAGCCCGATTTAACCCTCTCCAGGGTAAATCTGTCTGTTCTCTTAGCTGTCCATGGCACCTTCAGCACTCTTCTCCAACACCAAAGCTCAAAAGCATCAATACTCCTTCTATCCTTCTCGGTCATTGTCCAGCTCTCTGATGCATAAGTGATTGTAAAGACCATGGCCTGTACCAGATGCACCTTTGTCTCCAGAGACACACTGTTGCTCTTAAGTACTTTAGAGAGGTCCCTAACAGCAGACTTTCCCATGGCAATACGTCTTTTAATTTCCTGGCTGCTGGTGCCAAGAATGTTGATTGTGGAGCCAAGCAAACTAAAGCTATGAACAATCTCAATCTCTTCACCATCCATCCTGATGCTGCCAGTTGGTCCAGTGGTGAGAATCTTTGTCTTCTTGACATTGAGCCTCAATCCATATTGAAGGCTGCAGTCCCTGACCCTCAGCAGCAAGCACTTCAGGTCCTTCTCAGTTTCAGCAAGCAGGGTTGTGTCATCTGCATAACTCAGATTGTTTATGGATCTTCCACCAATCCTGATGTCACATTTCTCCTCATAGAGCCCAGCCTCCCAGATGATCTGTTACAGCATAAGAAACTGTTAGCAGCTGATGAATCTGGAATCACAGAAACCAAGGAAGCTTTAGATATAAGCTATCAGATCAAGGGCTTGACAGTGGGAGATAGGTGAAGAAGAAGGGAGTGAGTAGAAGTGGAGGGGTATCTTGATGGATGGTGGAGCAAAGAAATAATGGGTCAGGGCACTTGATCCAAGTGAAACTAATGGTTAATTCCACAGTAAGGGATGTATTTTCACTTCTTCTCTAAAATGCTTATCTGTTGAATACTTCTGTAGATCTGAACGTTCAGATTGACATACACTAGGAAGAAGGATTGACCATCCACTTCCAAAATAGCAGACCTCTGAAAACCCTATGTACAACAGAACACACATAGAATGACAGAAAGGGCAACTGAGTATGGAAATACAAAGGAAGAGGAACAGTTGTAAGCAGACACTAGTGATTGGAACATGGAATGTGAGAACCATGGATGTGGGAAAATTAGATAATGTTAAGGAGGAAATGGAATGCATAAATATTGACATACTAGGCATTGGAGAGATGAGATGGACTGGCATGGGGCATTTTGAATCAGGTGATCATATGATATACTACTCTGGAAGTGAAAAGGTGAGGAAAAATGGGGTTGCTTTCATAGTTAGAAAAGCCATTTCTAGATCTGTCTTGAAGGACAATATTGTGAGTGACAGGATAATATCCATATGCATACAAGGAAGTCCAGTGAATACCACTATCATTCAGATATTTGCACCAACAACCAGAGCCAAAGAAGAGGAAATAGAAAATTTCTACCAACTTTTACGGTCAGAGATCGATCGAACATGCAATCAAGATGCATTGATAATAATGGGTGACTGGAATGCAAAAGTTGGGAACAGAGAAGAATCAGTAGTTGTAAAACATGGACTCAGAGACAGAAATGGAGCTGGAGATAGAATGATTGAATTTTGCACAATCAATGACTTATTCATCACAAACACATTTTTTAAGAGACATAAATGCAGGTTATACACATGGATCAAACCTGATGGTATGCATAGGAATCAGATCGATTACATCTGTGGAAGGAACTGCTGGAGAAGCTCAATATCAGCTGTGAAAACTAGGCCTGGAGCTGATTGTGGAACAGACCACCAACTACTCATATGCAAGTTCAAGCTGAAGCTGTGGAAAATTAAGCTGAATCCACGAGAACCAAAATAAAACTTTGAGTCTATCCCACCTGAATTTCAGAACCATCTCAGGAACAGGTTTGAGGCCTTGAACATGGATGAACGAAAAAATTCACATAGGACCACTAAAAACTTTCTCATCTCTCTCTTTGAGTTACTGTTGATTTCATCTGCTTAGAGTTGATTCTGACTCAACAGCAATGACTTTGACTTTTGTGTTTTTGAAGTAGAAAAATTATAAAATGCATGTGACTATGATAGCTAAAGGTCACATAAGAAAAAGAGACAGATCAGTAAATCCTTTTTAGTTTAATGAGCTTATGAAGATGAATAGTCTTAGAATGCATAATTATAGTACTATTTTTGTCTCCCTAGTAATCATTATACTTTTGGATTTATTACTTAGTTTATGACAGTCCAAATAACATACTTTAAAAATATCTATTTTTGTTTGAGGGACGTTTACAAATCATACTGGTTTTTCATACGTAGTTTTTTTCATACATAGTTTATAGACATCTTGTTGTATAACATTACTTGTCACTAGTTAATCACAATGTATAACTAATGCTTTGTTGTATATTGCCTTCTCCTTCATCCAACTTATCATTTATCCATTTTTACTCCCTTCTTCCTTTCCATCTCTGTTATGCACCAAGATTTATTCTGTACATAAAGAATGTAACTTTATAAAACCAATCCACATCTTTTTTGTTTCAAACAGTGGACCAGCATCTCTACTTTCAAGACACCTATGTATTCTACCAGTTTTCTTCTGACGAATGTAGCTACTTGTACTGTGAATTTGAACGAGAAGAAGAATGGCAAAATGGTGTCAAACTTCTCCTGCAGCTTGTGCCTCTCATCCCTGCTAGAGCTGGCATCTGTGAACTGTAAGTAGGTCCCACTTGGTTTGATTGCTACATTATTTTCATTTAGAGATTATTTACTGTGTGCCAGAGACTCTTTTCTGCCCTTTGTGATCACTGTCTTTTAACTAGTACTTCTTAAATAGTCCCATTTTTCAGATGCAATTTCAGGAAGGTAAAAATAAACGTCTGAAAAGGAAATACACTTAATCAGTGACTAAACTGAGATCCAGCTCCAGAAGCCCCTGCCACATCAGCCACACCCTGCAGCTTCTTCCTTGTCACTGCTCTATGCATGGATGATCTAAAATAGGAATAAACATATGATTTGGCTCCTGTTGACATAAAATAACTTGCATCTTATCCAGTGTCTAAGTCGTGACTCTCCTAAGAAAGAATTCAAAAAGACATTTTTTAAAATAATCTAGAAGCAACATTTGGCAAATTAAAATACATGAATCATTATCACATGAAGGTACTGAATCACCATATGATTAAAGTAAATTAAATTTAATTAATTAGCTAAGCTCTGGGAATAGGATTTGAGTCATGATATGGTAATTCTACCATACATTTGTTTATCTGCAGCAATAATGACAGATCTATTTTAGTATTATGAGTTGCAGATTAAGATTTCAGCTAATAACTTTACATATGTAGAACATTTTCATTTCCAGAATAGTTTCACGTAGGCTGTCGAGTCTTTCAGGTCTGTGAGATCAGATGAGCAAGTGCTATTTTTCTTATCCCATAAATAAGAAAGATTCAGAGCAGTACTTATAGCCATAACAAAGATAAATTAGTATTAGGGAGCTCTGGCAGCCTAGTGGTAAGAAGTGCGCTGCAATCCCAGAGGCATGTAGTTCAAATCCACCAGCTGCTCAGCAGGAGAAAGATGGGCACTCCCCTCCCAGACTATTAAACTGCCTCTGAAAACCCACTGAAGGATCAGCTGTGGGTCACTTCCAATTCAACAGTACAAAACAACTACTTAAAAAGTGGTAGGTGAGAATGAAGAGTTAATGTGCTTTAGTTTCATTTCTTTTAGGCAAAACAGGTATTAGAATATTAATAGGATACTGTATATGTGCTAGTGGCATAGTCTGTAGGGGCTGCAAACCCAGGGGTTGAGCTTCTTTGGGTTCAAATCCACCAGCAGCTCAGTGGGAGAATGATAGACAGTCTCCTCCCCTATGGTTTACACCCTCAGAAAACCAAAGGAAGGTCAGCCGTGAGTTGATTCTGACTTGATAGGGCAATGAGAGAAGTTGCAATGATACATATACAGAAATTGGGATTGTCAGAGAATGTATAATGTGGCAGGCACTGGCCTAAATGATTTATTTACATTAGTTCATCTTCACATGAATGCAAAACAATAGATAATGTTTTTGGGGGGTTTAAGGAAATTTTTATTTCATATTATTCTGCTTACAAAGTTCATGTGCATTATGTTTTACTTCATTTACATTGTGTTTCATGCAAACATTGCCATTCATTATGTTTTATAAAATTAGTCACCACTGAACTATGCCCACGCTTACTCTTTTTATTTTTATTTTGTAAGCCAAGAGAATTCAAGCAAGGACCTTGATCAAGTAACTGCTCTAAGGTCATGCAAGTAGAGTCTTAGGATTTATTTGAATCTTTAACACCCACTAAAGTGTGTGTGCAAAAGTTATGGCATCATTTCATCATCAACACAAGCTGTACATGTGCCTGTTGTTGTGTTGTAATGTGCCATCGGGTTGCCTGAGACTCATAGTCATGTACACGTGTTAGAACGCTGTAAATACTACCTATATGATTATTAGCAGTTCTGAAATGGTAAACTTCACTTCTACCACCACTGCTCTTTATGGAGGGCCATCAGTGGCTAAACAGCATTTAACTATAATTCATCCTTCAGTTAGTCTGAGTATGGGAAATATTCTGCAGTGAGATTTTCTTTTAATGTGGGTCAGAAGTGCCTCAGGAAAAGTCAAGGAGCATTTCAATAAACTTTTAACACGCTTCCTCAGAAGGAGTGGCTTGCTTTTAAACTTGAGCTAGCTGCCCCTCATGCTGACTCATCGGGACTGACATTCTCTAGCCCTCTTTGCGTCCACTTGCCTGAGCCACGCACTAGACGCAGTGGTCCATGCCATCCCTTGGGTGTTCTCAGATTATTTAATGCATTCACAAATTATGAGGGCAGATGAAATAAACTTGTGAATAGTACTCATAATTCCTTCTACTCCCTTCTCTTTTTACTTATAAAGAGTATTAAATGTCTGGGAGTAAGATGGTCTTATTATAGAGATAACATTAAATCATCTCTGACTTAGAAAAATATTTTCAAAATTTGGGTCCTAACATTAATTCCAGATTACTTGCAGTCACACTGAACACTGTGGCTTTGTAACTGAGAATCACTGTAGCATGCTGTGTTTATTGGTTTTTCTCTCTGGTTTTGTGTGCATATAAATATGGGAGTGGTTGCTGACTCCTGGGAGCGATGGACCTGTCTGTACCATGCTACAGACCTCAGCCCATTGCTTTAGAGTTGGTGCTGACTCATGACAACCTTTCATCAGATTTCCAGTTCTGTAAATGTTTTCAAAAGGGGGCTGCTTTATCATTCTCCTATAGATTACTTGATAGGTTTGAACCACTTACTTTTTAGCTGACAGCCTGACATGTTGTACACTATGTCACCAAGACCAGTATCATATGTTATTGTTGTTGTGTACTGTTGTATTAGAACCAGCCCATAGCTGACCCTCTGAGGAGTTTTCAGAGGCAGTAAATTGTGTGGTAGGAGACTGCCTGTCTTTCTCTCATGGAGCAGCTAGTGGTCCACCAGAGTTCTATCTAAATATAATCTTTACAAAAGGAGACAGTCCTATGTTCTCCTGTGGAGCACCGATGGATTTGAATAGTCAGTCTTTGGTAATCAGCCCAACATGTAACATGTCACTGAGATGCCTACTATAAGTACTATCTAAATATAAATAAATAATATCAATGAGCTACTGTGAGTCCCTTCTACACAGAAGGCTTAAATAACTCTCCGTGCTTTGGTAGAGTGATTTTGGCCAAATATTGGAAAATTAAGTTTTAGGTTATCTGGATTAGGGATAAATTGCAGTCAGGGAAAGAGATGACCAGAGATACGTGCTCTTCCATTTGCTTTATTGCATTGTATTGGATAGTCTGATGCATATGATCACATCTCCTGCTCTTATCAAATGGGTTTCTTTCTTTCTAGTCTTCAGCCTGTTTGCACCATCATACCAGTGTGATGTTCTTTCTCTTCCTTCTGCGTATTTTTGGTATTTTTGTTTAAATTCTACCCACCCCTCAAGGGGGAGCCCAAGTTCTTCCTTGACTGCAAAACTTCCAGAATGTCCTCAGTCCACATTGATCTTACTTTTGCTTACTGTTCTTGCTGTGTATGTCACAACTTTCCCTTTCTTTTATGCTGTTCTCAGTCTCATATGGCTTCATTTTTTTTTATCCAGTCTACTGAAATCCTTCCAAAGTCTTAATTCACTTATTGCCATTCATTTGCAGCCTTTTGGTTATATGAAAGCTTTTGTTCTGTCTATGTCTTTCTTCATGAGGTTTTTAATTTGGTATCTTATCTCCAAGTCTCTAAGACAATACAAGGAAACATCTTAATTACCTCCATGTAAATGTCATTCTGCTCCATACAAATATAAAAGATAAGAGGACGCATACAGAAAACACAAGACAGAAATGAGGAGGGTGCTTTTATGATGTGAGAATTGCCATCAGTGTCATGAAATACAACGTTCATGAGCTGTTGAATAGAGAACCAATTTGCTGTGCAATCTTTCACTCAAATCATAGTAACAAGTTAAAAAGAGAGAGATAATGTGTAAAACAGGTGGTGGAAATGAAACTGCTGCAGGTTCCCAGGCTGGATTGAAGGAAACAAATTTCTATTCTATAAAACTGTCTTTTATACCCAAACATGGTAGACAATATGGGAAAAGTAAGTCTATTGTAAGGATACGACTTTTGAGGAGAGGATAATTGCCATGGTATCTCATTCAGACAAAAGGCAATCCTAATCACCCTAGAATGTACGTTCTCCTAATCCTTCTTTTTAAGTAAAGAGGGGATAAATAATGTACACAGCAGTGAAACAGACAAAGGAGAGAATTGTATAAAAGGAATATATGATTAGGTATTATTGTTATGACAAGAGTCCAGAATAAGAGCTGCACAGATTTTTGGGGGGGGGGTCTGTGTAACAATGAAAGAATTTTTTTTCTAAATAAAAAAGCAAACTGGGGGATGAAGGGGGACAATGAGGAAAACTTGCAACAATGTGAATGTAAATCCAAGTTCTCTATAAACTTTTATTAAAATATAAAAAAATTTATAAAAAGGAAATGGAAACATCTTCAAAATGTACCTAAAAAAGCCCACAAACCAAAAAACTCTTGCCTTTCCAAAGTACAGTTGCATTGAAAACAGTTTAAAAAAAAAGGAAAAGAATAAGGAGGAGCACGGTTGAAGGATGCTGAAGTAACAATGCAGAGGTCCTAACAAGTCCATTAGGGCCAGTGAGGCTAAATGGAATACAAACTATTTGGGGGCTTGAGGCTATGAAGGTTGACTCTCTTCAGCAGCTGTTTTGTCAGCTCCTGGCTTGCCAGGCATGGGACTAGTGATGAATAGATTGAGTCTAAGAATCCTAAATATATAAAATGGTATTCTGCCAAATACAGGGCAACTAACAGTTACACTGTTATGAAGAATTGTGTAGTTCTTGTTGGATGTCATCTAGGTGACTGTGATGCATAGTAACCCCATGCTACAGAGTGGAACTGCCTCCTAGTGTTTTCTGGTCTGTAATCTTTATGGGAAGCAGATCTCCAGATGGTTCTCAGATGAAAGTGCTACATGGCTTTGCACAGCCTCTTAGCACCTAAGCCTTAAGCATTGTACCTCAGGGTTTATTAAAGGAATTATAGTGGGTTGCTAAAATTTTACTTGTGCTACACTCAGAT